TACTTGAATGACTCCTGGTGTTATGTCAATGAAATTTGGTATTGTTGCATCTTCTGATGGTTGAATAAGAGCAGCAGTGACTGTATGATCAAGTTCTTTATCCAAGTATGCTTGAATATTGACAGTTTCATTTGGCTTTAGAATAAACCTTGTGAGGCATAGCATTTCTAACAATTGCCAATCTTGTTCTTGTTTTTGATGTAATGCCTTATCTCTGACGACGCATAGCTCTGAAAACAAAAGGTACCATGGAACAATGTAATTTTTCTTCTGTAGAAAAATTGATCTCCAAAATTGCTTTTGCATTCTTCTAATAGTTCCTTCAAGATATTTGTTCCTAATATAAACTGGAGTCTTTGAAGAATAATTGGTATCTGGGAACCACAAGAAGTAAACCTGGTTGTGTTTTTTGTATTTGGAAGTCCTTTTATTATTGTCAAGTTCTATTTCGATGAATTCCTAAATATGGTAAAGTTTTTGTCCATCAGCACATTCAATGTTAAGTATGTCTCTAATTGGTTGTAATTTTTGTTGAGTCTTGTAGGTAATTTTTATAAAAATGTTTCAGAAATAACACTAACACAACTTTTCCTGTATCTAGTAGAGCAGTAGTTTTTCATGCCTTATTTACCAATAATGTCAGCCTCATTAGTGGGGTTCTCCAACTAAATTGGGATCTTTTAATCAGTGCCTCTTGTTTGATCCCTCAACAAGTGCACTTATTCTTTTAAATCTTTTTGTGATGACTTCCTAGGACAATCCCTTGCTAAGTGTCCTCTCTCGTTGCAAATGTAACATGTTCCCATAAATGTATTTGATGCAAGTGGTCTTCGAGGTGTGTATATTCCCACGACCTCTTCCTCGGTATCCTCCATTTCTTCCTCTAAACCATCTTTTCTTCCGCCATAATAGCCTCCTCTTTGTTGTTGTTGACTTCCATAATATCCACCTCTTTTGTTGTTGAACTCCATAGTATCCTCCCCTTTGTTGTCGTTGATCTCCATAATATGTCTTTTGTTCTTGTACAGTCTTCTGCATCTTTTTCTTTTTGAAATTTGTCCATTTTATTACTTAATTCCTTAACTATTTCTCTTTTAATTCTTCAATTTCACTTTTCTTCTTTGGTTGTTCATTCAATTGTTGTTGTGGCATGACATGTCTTTAATTTTCCTGATGACTTCATATCTGCTTCCAGTTTTCCTAAGTTCTATTTTGAAAAGGTCATAGTTCAAGATTGTTTCACTTTTATATTGAGCGATATGTCTTAATTCTGTATTAAGTCCTTGGTACAATGCTTCATGTATAAAACGCTCATCCCTTTTTATAGGCTCTAAGTTGTAATTTGGCTTGTGTTAATTTAGGTTCTTCAAGTTTTGGGAAGCATTTAAGTATTTTACACTGTCGGCACCCTGTGTAATGCATAAAATTTTTCTAAGTAAATGGGTTTGTGGGGGAACTTTCTATTGTTTCCCATTAAGTACTGTTGAATTTTGTTACCAAAATTTCTGATACTGTTATCCAGTCCCCAATCTCCTGACAATATCTCCTGCTTGTATCCCTTTTTACAGCTCTTCTTATTCCCTAATTTAGAATTTTTGTTCCTCTGTAAACCCATTAATGCTGTCATTAAAGATTTCAATTTCGAATTTTTAATGTCTCCCAGGTAACTTCGCCCCTTTGGTTTTCTTCTCCAATAAAAAATTCGACAGCTTTGGAAAATGATTTCGGACCTGGTGTTTTCCGTACAAATGCTGGTTTACTTGTTGTAATTGAAATATCTGGTAAATATGATGATGACAAATCTTTAAGTGGTGTTAGCAATGCATTCTCTGTAGGTTTTGTTTCTGTCCCAGGTGTTGCCATTGGATTAGTTGTCAGTCTTGTTTTTTGTATTGTAATTAAAGGTGTTGTTTCTTTCTTTATCTTTAGTTCTTCACCAAACTCCTTTGTCTTAGCATCTCTTAACAATTTCCGTAAATCATCTGGATTTTCTATGAATGGTTCAATGTGTAAAGCTCTAAAAGCCTCTAAAAGTTTCTTCTCATTTAATGAGATTTTCATTTCTCCCAAGCTCTTCTTCATCAGTAGCTTCCATATCTTCTCCTCCAACAGCTCCTAACTCCTTTGATGGATCCATTTTAATTTATGGTCAACTTCGTCTATAATTATAATCACTTTTTCCAGTTCCAAGTGTTATCTGTAGTTATTTACAGTTCTAATTCGCAGTACTAATAATCAAGCACTATTTCAAAGCACAATTTCAGTTCAGCACTTTTTTTTATTTTCACAGTACTAAAGTACTAAATCATCCAAGCACTAATTGAATTCAAAATGTTTCACAGTACTAAAGTACTAATTCATCCAAGTACTATTGCAAAGTACAATATCACTTCAGCACTTTCAATTCACAGTACTATTTTCCAGCACTAACCCATTAAAGCACTATTTTCAAATAACAGTACTATTTTTGCAGTACTAAAACCATAAAGCACTATTTCAAATCACCATGCTCCTCCAGTACTAATTCAAAGATTAAGTGTCACAGGACTATTCCCGACAAATCTATTCAAGCACAAATTCTATCAATACTTCAGTACTAATTCAAAATTAAATGTCACAGGACTATTCCCGACAATAATATATTTAAGCACAAATTCAATAGGTACTGTTTCAATCACTATGTACCTCCAGCTCTAAACAATAATTCAATGTCACAGGATGGTTCCCGACAATAATATACGTAAGCACAGATTCAATCAACGGTGTCTCCTCAGCACTGTCAAAATCACATAGGACTATTTCACAAGTACAACTTCAAATCACACTAATACTTCAGTACTATTCTCGCAAAATTATTTCAAAGTACTAAATTCCTTGTTCCAAGTACTATCCTTAGCGGAGTAATTCATCACGTCAAGCACTATTCTTTCAGTAGAATTTTCAACACTATATTTACAAAGCACTATAGTGTAAACAGAATTTCACAGCACTAACGTATCCAAGCACTATTTGCTGATTATAATTTCAAGCACTTTTTTAACAACACAGCACTAACTTATTCAAGCACTATTTGCCGATTATAATTTCAAGCACTTTTCCACAATATAACATCACAGCACTAATATTCATTTCAAGCACTATCATCCTCCAAAGCACAGCTCCTTTTTATAATTAAAGCACTAATTTCACAACAGCACTATTTCAATTTCGCCTGTAGTACTACACCAGTCAATCCACACTTCACTATTCAAGATTTTTATGTCACAAAGACTTCACTTATTCCCAGTTGTAAATTATCACATTTCAGATTAATTTAATTTTATTTATTAATTTTTATTATGTTGAATTATTTTATACCGTGACTAAAGTATAGTCAAAATATCAAAACGGCAAAAATTAAAACATTATTTTATTATATATGTTTTATTTTATTTTATTATTATTGTATTCATATATTGAAACTGACCAAGTTATAAATCAGTTCAATTATTTTTTAATTACTTTATATCAATAAATATTTATTTGCTTTCAAATAAATACTAATTAATATTCTTTATAGAATAATTTACTGTATCTGATTCATTAAATTAATTATTCATCTCAATAATCAATTCAAAGTTCAGACCTGTTATTTAATTTTAATAATGAAATTGAAAAAATATTTCAAATTCATGTAAGAGTTGAAAATGACCTTTAAGTATAACTTTATCTTAAAGTAATAAATTATTTAATCACACACTAGAATAAGTTTATAAACAATTGACTTTATTTTATTTCATTTAAGAGAACAGCAATAGGAATTTATTCTATTACATTTCTCACAGTTTTATACAAGTTCAAAAACTTTTAATATTATCAGTGAGTTCTAATTCTCAATACTGACAATAATATTTATCTTTTTTAGATTCTTAATACAATTATTATATTATTATTCTTTTATTTATTATTTTATTTGGTAAACAGTAAACTTTTTACTGATTACGCAAACCGTGTTACAATTGTTTATTTAACAGTTCTCAATGATACAGAAATTGGATTTTACTCAACTTCATTACCATTTAGTTTATTTATTTTATTTCACCAAGTAACAACATTTAAAGGGAGTTGAACATTTAAAGGGAGTTGATCACAATAATTATTATCAATAACTTTTTTACTGATAATAACAAAAAGCTTCTTATTTACTCTTCTCCTATCTAATAGTATACAGTACTATGCTACCTGTATTTAATCAGTCAGTCAGTCAACCAAGGAAATCATAACATACATGTAGTCTGCTCCAAATATCACACAGGTAAAATTCAATGGGTCAATCAGGAAATCAAAATATTATTGTACAACACACATATATAAATTGTTTCAAGTTACAAATGCAATGAATATCTGGTCATTCAACACAATATCAGTGTTTTGACAATCAACTTAGTTCAAACCCCAGGTACAATATAGACAGCAGACTGCTGATCAGTCAAAACAATTTCAATGTTTATACAATCACCTCATTATGTGTAAAGATTCTACCAGTGATATTTAAGGCCAAGCAAATAAATGTTGACTATTACTTCATCAATAAAAGACTGTCAACAAAATCAGACTTTAATATTTGAAATTTGTAAACAAAATATTTTCTCTTTTAAAGAAAATGAATTCAAAATAGCAGCATTATCTTATCTGGAAGGAGATGCTTCTTAATTTGTAGACAATGAATTAAGTTCCCTCACCAGTTAATAAAGGGGTATTTATGGGGCACATGCAATTAAAGTGAATTCTTTCTTCCTTAATCTATACAATATCACTCCTGAAAAATATCACTCCTGAAAAATATCAGAAATTGCAGTCTGTGGCAATCTGGTAATATATTTCAAACAAGATTTCAAAGATTCAAATAAAAAATTACACAAAAGAATCTATCTGAGAATTTACATAAAAGATTTACCAGTTGAAACTGCAATTAATGAATGTTACAATATATTCATTTCATTGACATATGTTTTACTCACAAATCTGATGTACTGAAAGTTCTTGACTTTGGTCACTAGAGCACTAATACACTACTTAACAGATACAGATACCATTGGAAATCTAAACCTGCAATACAAAAATTCACAACATAAAATCAATGTATATAAACTTCTGTCACTAGTCAATTTTAATTATGATAACTTCTTAAAGTGAACAATCCTTGATCTACACTGGGAAGTGATGAATTCTTGTAGCGAATAATATTCTCAAATAATGTCTGTATAAGTTAACTGATGAGTATTCAAATTTAACACATCTCGTAAATATTCTAAAATGATTTACTATATGAAGAACTGTCTGTTTAATAAACAAACTATATGAAAATACTTGTATAATATAATACACTGTTGGTAGAACTTCCTGCACTTCACTGTTTAATTTCAATTAAAAATATTAAAAATGTTCAGTGAAAAGTGTTCACACAGGAAACAAATATAAAATTTTAAATGTCCACTTATTAAACTCCGTTGGGCGCCATTTGTGACCCCGATGTCTTTTTGCCTTGTATAAGTAAAGAACAAACTGAGGGTTACTGGTTCATCAATTTAATTTGTAGTGGACACTAGCTTTATATATAATTCCAATTTGGTACATCTCAACAGCAAACATCATATGTCATACATCATACAACATACACATCACAGTTACATCACATCTACATCACATCTATATCACATCTACCAAGCCCTGAAAGTATAAATACCAAACATCCCATACTATCATGAAATATATAGTTTTATACATTTGTATGACTTGTATACACTACAGTACCTTAAATATACTTAATCAACAGATCAGTCTATATGGATAGACCATTCATTTTATCTCATGAAAATAAATCATGTACACATAAAATACATCTTTAAATGTATTACATCATATATTACCTGCATCTAGTGACCACTTAATCATTTACTTATAAAACAATATACATTATGTGCTCAACTTAAAAATTTACATGTTAAGCTCCAAAAAAATATAAACAATGACATATAAATATAATATAACATACCAATTGTGGATCAGACTCTGTAAATATACATGTACCTCTGTCACTCACACCTATCTCACTTTGCTGTTAATTATGCTGTAAACTGTAATTTACAAACATCAGTGCAATACAAATAGAAACAGTGATTTCTATGAATAACTATAAGATAAGAACATATGCTGCCATCTTGAATTTTAACACTCAAGAACAAAACAAATTTATCAAAATAACTTTTATCAAATCCACAACTGTATTTAATTACTATAAGTCTTCATTTAGTTGACATTAGAACTTTTAAGAACAAATGAATAAAACATACAAATACCAATTCCTCAATCCAAAACCTTATTAATAATATTAAACCAACACATCTACATGTCACAATGACCAACAACTTCTTTAACACAAAGAATGACCTCAAGTGACCCTAACTTTAGGAGGGAAACGTTATGGTTGAGCAAATAGCAAATGTGGTCAAGGGGACATAATCACACAAAAGTAAAGATTAAAATCAAACAAGGCCGACAGAGTTACCTTTCTTGGAAAATAGCAAAAACCTTAAAAATAGCACTTGGTTACACCTGACCTTCAGTTTCCGTTAAGATGTTAAAGGGAGACACAGGCAAAATTTACATTTCTTCGTTTTGAATTGTTTATTCATTATTCTGTAAATATCATCAAAATTAATACACTAAACAGTCACAGGAACAAAACTGTTCTTCTTAATATAAAGAATAAAATGGTGGTTTCCTAACCTGATCCACGTGGTCAGGTTAGAGCATTGCGATTTTACAATAGTTGTCACAGTGATCTCTGGACACATAAATGAACATGTCAAATGAATGACTTAGACCTGTTTCAATCAAACACTATCCACAATATCTGTTATTTTTAGTTCCATGGTTTGTTCAAGTCACATGTCTTGTTTTAAAACTACTCGGTGATTCTGTTCGTTCAACATATATAGATATATTTACGCTTTAAACACAAAATATTTAGAATTAATACTGAAATTCATGCTCGGACTTTAAAAAACGTCACTCCGTCGTGATTTGAGTACATGAGGTCATTTTGATATTTTTGTCATTAATTTGCCCTAGTATCCCTTTAAATGAGTGTATACAAATTAGCTGTGAACAATGGAACACTATAGATGCTTTATGTGGTTTGTTTATTAGTTGTGATGGATATATGACGAATTTTAAGCTTTACTGTCAATGGAAGACCCCGAGTGCCCACTCGTGCATTTTCTGCAAACACGAGCGGGTATCTTAGTTGATTGTCACATGTTCAATATATAGAAAATGATAATGTATGGAGGTAATATCAAAAGCTTGGTGTTTGAAATTTCACTACTTTAATAAAGATCTCACATTCCTTTTAATGTCTTGCACGTTAATGTGACTATATTCTTGTCCCACCTCCCGGACAAAGCCTACCCATCCAAAATGGCAAAGGGGACAGAAGCTCTCCGATAGTACAGAAACTCTCCCAAGAATTCAACAAGTCATGCCACTTCCTTTATGTTTATTTATCATATATTTTGTGAGGAACCATAGTCAGATACAGAGGTCAAGGTACTGATAATATTTGCAGTAATTAATAAGAGAACAATATACATATTAACAACATTTAAATAAATATACATGTACTAAGTTTACAGGAATCGCTTGTGAAATAATAATAAAGTGATGCAATTAATTGATATGATCTTACTATTAATATATTTTAAGTTGTAACATTTATTCTCCTTTGTAGTTTGTCCTTATGTGGTGTTCTAAGATAATGCCAATTTATCTTCCTGTAAATTTTATAAGCATAGTAGTGCTGTTATTCTGGGAAAGGGACGGGGGTTTCTACAGTTTACGTTTTTTTTGATTTTGGGACTGAATTTTTAGTAACTACAACAGTCACCATATTAATGTTTTAAAAGACACAGGAAAAAATATTCATTATGCCGTATTAGCAATTGTTTCTAGTTTTGGACTAGGTGAATCATTTTTCGTTGATTTTTTTCAGCATTGCTGGAAAAAATGCATTTTCTAATCTTGTTGTTCTGTTAAAGATCCTGCATGTTGTAATTTTAAGTGAAATTTTATATATGTATATATTTATGCTTATTAAACAATTTTCAAACATCGAAGAAAATGTAAAATATGTACTGCAAATATTTGTCCACATTATATGTAATCGTTAAAATATATGCTTTAATTTCTTATTGAAAATTTTGACTTAGACTCTTTAGAAAATAAATTTCTAATTACCACCCTTTAAGTACATGAAATGTTAAATTCTGTAATATCTTTATAAATAATGCTTTTTGGAACTTACAATATTGATAAATCCTAATTTGAGCATCATATTTATGATATAAAACAATAAAGAATTGTGTTACAAACTTTAGTTCAAGTGTATTCACAGTTACCTACAGTAATATTTAATCTAAATGCAAACGGATGGAAAGCTGATTATTGGTATTTTTTTTAATATCATATATATGGATTTTGAATTTTTTTTTTTAGAAAATGGTCAAATTAGTGTTTAAAGTGGTAGGGTAGAGTAACATTTTTATACATAATTATGTAAAACATTTTGTTTAGAAACAATCATTTTGCTCGTGTAATTTTTTTTTACCTGAATGTTATAATTTGTTTCTTAACAATGAACAATAGAAAAATAGTTTTCATAATGTTGATATTATAGATTATTTAGAGTTTCCTCATTTCTGAAAAAGCCCTTATAAAAGCAAAGCTTAGGTTCAGAAATATATCCATAACTAATAAACCACACGGTGAATTTTATTTAAATTTTGCATACAGGTGACCTTTAAGACATATAACTGTCCTTTGTTGTCAATTTTACAGTTCTTTATAGTTCCCATTACCCATGGTCTACCTTAAGGTAGAATTGTACACCAAAATGTAACAAGAGCCACCGCCGGGCGGGGCAACGCTCGACTTTTTCTAAAAGCAAACAAAGAAATGTTTCAACAAATCTTAACGTTTCCTTCATGTATTTAATCCGTCTGTCTTGTCACATTAGTTTTGTCTATATATTCTCTCTCTCTCTCTGTCTCTCTGTCTCTCTCTCTCTCTCTCTCTCTCTCTCTCTCCCTCTCTCTCTTTAATGCATAATGTTCATCCTTATTATAATATGACTACACACTTGATAACAGTGCACCATAACGCAAAATCCTGGTATCTACCCACGCACAGGTAAGCCACAAATTACCTGATTGATGCTTTAAGTTTTGTGTGTATTAATCATGTATAAGAATAGTGTTATGTTTTTTTGCTCATTATCTTGGTTACTGTTTATCACAATTCTTTATATTGCACATATTAAATGGTCATAACAATTAGATTTCCCCTATTGATTTTGTGGTCACTAGGTCAAAGGTCAAGGTCACAGGTTCATTGAATGGTAGTATGGTTTACGCTCATTTTCTTAAAAGCCAGTTATCACCAAGTCTTCATGTTTTACATGTTGAATATTCATAACTAGTAAATGACCCGTATTGATTTTAGGGTCACTAGTCTTAAGGTCAAGGTCACAGGGGCCTTTAATGTCAGAATGGTTTCGCTTATTACCTTGAAAACTAATTATCACAAAATCTTCATATTTCAATGACTGATTGTTTATAACTAGTAGGTGACCCCTATTGATTTTGGGGACACTAAGCAAATGTCAAGGTCGCAGGGGTATTGAATGAGAGTATGGTTTCCGCTCATTATCTTGAAAGCTTTTTTATCACAAAATTTTCATATTTCACATAGTGATTGGTCATAACTAGTAATTGATCCAAATTGAGTTTGGGGTCACTAGGTCAAAGGTCAAGGTCACAGGAGCCTTAAATGTCAGAATTGTTTCTACTAATCATCTTGAAAACTATTTATCACAAAGTCTTCATATTTCAATTACTGATTGGTCATAACTAGTAGGTGAGCCCTATTGAATTTTGGGCCACTAAGTCAAAGGTCAAGGTCACAAGGTTATTGAATGTAAGTATGATTTCCGCTTATTATCTTGAAAACTATTTATCACCAAGTCTTCATATTTCTCATATTCATTGGTCATAGCTATTAGATGGCCCCTACTGAATTTGGGGTAATTAGGTTAAAGGTCAAGGTCACAAGTGCCTTAAATGTCAGAATGGTTTCCGCTTATTATCCTGAGAACTATTTTTCACAAGGTCTTCATATATTACATTTTGATTGGTCATTACTAGTAGATGTATCCTATTGATATTGGGATCACTATGTCAAAAGTCAAGGTCACAGGAGCCTTGAATGTCAGAATGGTTTCCGTCATTATCATGTAAACTATTTATCACAAAGTCTTCATATTTCACATATTGAAAAGCCATATGTAGTAGATGACCCTATTGATATTGGGATCAATACTTGATAGGTCAAGATCACAGGGACCTTAAATGTAAATATGTTTTCCGCTTATTAACTTGAAAACGTTGTATCACAAAGTCTTCATATTTCACATTTTTATTAGTCATAATGGGATCACTAGTTCAAAGATCAAGCTCTTAATATTTTACATATTGATTGGTTATAACTAGTAGGTCATTTTTTTGTTACCTTAAATGAACACTTCCATGTACCCATTATGGAAAAATTCTCTAACAATGTTACCAAAATGTGAGTCAAGGGTTATAAAAAGAGAGAGGGGGGGGGGGGCATATGTGTCTTTCGACATTTCTTGTAATAATTATTATTATTATTATTATGTTATTATTATTATACTTGTTGTTGTTATTATTATTGTACAACTCATATATAATTTATTCTTAAAGAATTACAATTAATCAAGTGTATTGAAAGGAAATTTATAAACATTTGCAAAAATCGTCAATATTTACTTGAAAATGGTGATAAAAATATTTTATCAAAATTTAATATACATGAAATCTCTGTTATGTTCACACATTCTTAAAAACAATAATTCTGTAGAACAAAATGAGAAAGAGAGATGTTTTGCTGAGTTTCTCTGTATAGTAATATGACCTTGGATAGAAATATTTGGTTTACAAACTGTCTTAAATAAGGCACAACATGCATTAAGACACAACATGCCATAACTTAAGATTATAATAACGTAATGAGCGATAACATTCACCATGCCCTATTTAATATGCATGCTTTTTTTTAAACATAGAAATTATAAAAATAACTCTTACGAGGCAGGCAAATAGTTGATGTGTCATTTGTATTCGAACTAAGGAACATTTAGATAAAAAAATTAAGGAGGTTTATGTTTTGTTTAACATTCTCCAACCGATTTCATATCGTTTTGTTGTATAATTTCTTTGTCAATTAATTTGAAAATAGTTTCAAAGGAATTGAGAACAGTGCTCAATAAGGCAAGATGATATTCACAGACCGTTCACAGAATGCAGCCCCATTCACAACCCAGTCACACCAGCAGGGCACCAAGAAGGCAACGGACCGAAAATGAGAGAGGACACAAGGACGGGGAAAGGAAGGTAGAGACGTGATCAGAACCAAAAAGAGCCTATACGGAAATTAAGGGGACAGATGGGTGTAAGGCGAAAAAAGGGAAGAACAAAAAATGGGATATGAAGCGGGGGACAACACGTGAAGGAAGCCAGAGATCTTTTCTAAGAATTTTTTCTAACACTTGAAGTATTATATATTTAAAAGATTTATTGAAACACAATAACATTTAATAACAACTGCACAAAATAAATACAAATTTGCCGTCTAAATAATAACATAATAAAGCTCATTAATTTGCAAACTTATATAGTCCAGTTTGCTTTTTTCTTAAAAACTGAATGTCAATTTGCAGTAAAATAAACGTTTCTATTTTTTAATGACAAAAATGAAGAAAGCACTTTAATGTAGATATAAATGCGTTCATAATGAAAAAGACATGAATTTAATTAAATGGCTAAATTCGGATGAAAGATGAAAACATATTCGTGCAAGAAAATATGAATTATGCATTAAATATGTGACAGTGGTAACATATAGTGTTATTAAAGGACCAAAAATAATTTAAAAATAATAACACGTATAATACAAGTGCATGATATTTAAATGCGACCTTTGATTGAGTGTTTTGGTTCAAGAGAATTAAATGTAGAAATGGTAGTTTACATACTAGATGGCAGATATCATTTGTATATAAATCGCTTCGTAATGGTATTAAAAGACGGTCGAGTGATAACAATATCATAATATCTGTTTATAAAATGAGCGTAAATGACTGTTATAACGCTCATACAAATTGGGTTTCTCATATTTAAAATATGTTACAGTAACTAATAATTTCGTAGTACTAGTTCTGTAAATGGTAACGCATTTATTTTTGAATTAAAGACACTTTTAAACAAGAATGATATAGCAATATTAACACAAATTCTGTTTTGAATATGCATAGAAAATGTAAAACTTCCTTTAAGTTTGAATATAACTTTGACTTATTACAAAAAAAAATATGCACTTATTTTGTATACTTAGAGTTTCATTGCATCCTTCTTCTTAAGGAGATCTATCATTCTGTGAAGTTTTAAGTCCATAGCTTTTATACTTTATGAGAAATGGCCTGGACAAAAACGTAATGTGAAAATTAGCAAAGTGCAACAACTCAAAAAATAAGTACAGATTACCAGTTATTGTGCATTGCACTTTTAATAAATAAGATCTATCGTCCTATGAAGTTTCACCTACATAGTTTTTATAGTTTATGAGAAATGACCGGGAAAAAACTCAAGTATGAAAATTATCAAAGGGCAATAATTCAAAAAAAGAAGTGCAGAGTACCGGTTCTGGTGCACTGCCCTTTTTCTTAAAGAGATCTTTTATCCTAAGTCCATAGCTTTTATACTTTATGAGAAATGGCCCGGACAAAAATAGAGTATGAAAAATTAACAAAGGGCAATAACTCAAAAAAAAGAAGTACAGAGTACCGGTTCCTGTGCACTACACTTTTTCTGAATAAGATCTATCATCCTATGAAGTTTCCAGTCCATAGCTTTTATACTTTAGGAGAGATAGGCCGGACAAAAAGTATGAAAATTAACAAAGGGCAATAATTCAAAAATAAAGTGCAGAGTAACGATTCTTGTGCACTACAAATAAGGTCATTATAAGAAGCATGTATACCAAGTTTGGATTCAATCCGACTTAAAGTGACTGACTTATGCTCCGGACAAGCTTAAGATGACGCCGACAACGACGCCGATGACGAAAGTTACACCTAGATATGTTGAAGAAAAGCAAACTGATAATTAAATAAAGAGAAACAGAATTTGAAAGAAGCCTAACAATGACAATTTGAAAATGAAGACTCGTAGTACACGGACGGTAGTGGTAATTGCAAGCTACCGTCTACGTCCCATAGTACCGGCTAAAGCAGAATTTAACATTTAACATGAATTGTAGAAATATTTGATTTTGATACATTCGCTGATGTGCTCTTATGGCGGTTATCATGGAACATTCAATGTGACACATAAAAACGGCATATGATCGCCAACTAAAATAAAGCGTGTGTCCTAAACACGAAAACATTGGGTGAAACTAAACAAATTGAACTTGTGAAAGAAGAATAAGGCATCAGAGGTAACAAAGCTTATGTATCACAGTTAAGCTGTGAAAAGACAAAAATAAAAAACAAATCAACGCTTTTTTAAGTGCATGTATGGTCTAACTTACTTCAATAGAATGTGAACAAAATTGTTCCAATGAAATTATTCTTAATAAATAGTTTATCAACAGCAAATAAAAGTATACTTCCGCATGGTTTTAGTCTTACAAAATGGTATGAATGCTAAGATAATTAATACCATGACCACTGATAATATTATACGGATGTGATGTGGCCACGTACACTCTGTCTTGCGCATTTAGATAAAAAGGTGCTCCGGTATAACTTGACCATTCTGCATGACCGAAGGATAATTCACACGTGGTTTTAACGTTTTCAAGAAGAACTCGTTCAGCCCCATTTTTGTGGTATATTACGTTAACAACGTGACGGATTGCATTTTCTGAGTTTTTAAAGGTATCAGTAGTTGTCATGTTATTTGCTCTTACTGTCAGCAAAGACGACACAAAGTAATAGCCAGATTGGTTGATGTAGATGGCCCCTTCTTTCTGCAAGTATGTCATATGACGCGTAATCATATGTGTAATAGGTCGCCAGTATACTTTGGTGTTTTTTCCAGATACTAAAAAATATATATATTTCATGAGCAACAATTGTATATACTAAAATCTAAGTGTATTCTCCATGTATTGATACTTAAACAAAGATGGATGTGATGTTTTTAGAAAAGATCAGATTATTATTTTACATTTGTAGCTTTGTGATTGTTTCCATCGAGATCATTGGTTCCAGCACTTGTGTTGAAAAAAAGTTCCACAAACAGGTGCTAGGGAGGCATGAGGGACGTTGCAAATTTTCATTGGTGGCGTCTGTTGCCGAATTGTTAAGGCCGTTGACTTCAAATCAACTGATCTTCAACGCTGTGTGTCCGAATCCCGACAAGGGACTTGTGAGTCTTTCATGTAAGAAAGCTATCCAGTTAGCTTACTGAACGTCAGTGGTTCTTCTCAGGTGTCCGTTCGCACGGAAGGGCACCTGAGGTCTTCCTCCACCAGTAAAGCTGGAACGTCGCCATACGAGTACCGCTCAAGCTGGTGCTAGGGGTTGTGAGGGATGTTGCACGTAAATCATTATCCCTCATGTACAGACTCAATCAAACCGAGTCTGCAATTCTCTTGTAATTTTGTTGTGATTAATGCTTCCAAGGGATCATTTTGTTTCCAGATTTTTTATACTTAGTCGGTGTGAGGAAAAACCCAATCAAAACAAAAACAAAAAACTTTTAATATCCTCATGTACAACTTCAAACATTTTTCATCAAAACGATTCTGTAATTTTCATGTAATTTTGCTCACGAGTACCATATTTTCTTGATTGATACAAAGATAAACATTCGGTCAGTGTTGCATGGTATCATGCAAAAGCAATACCATTAGGAATTGTCAAATTTGCTTTTTTTCAAACGATATTAAAATTTTGAAAAATCCGGGAATTGCAGGTTCCTATGGTTTTGTTTAGAATATGCCATTAACGGAACACCTTATATTTAATTTATATACATGTAACAGTAGGTACAGTCAAGCAGTATTGTTATTGAATTCTGTTGATGTTCGTTATTTGGAACGAGTTTTTCATAAGCTTTCGATCTTCTTTTTGTAACTTCTACAAAAATAAGGAATTGTTAAGAAATCGATTTTTGAAATTAATTCCATCACATTGACTTTTACATTGTCGATAAAAACATGACAGCAATAACTACTGGAAATAGAAAAGGATAATGTGTGTTAAGTACACATTCATAAATCTGATGATAGTAATATTGAGTTTAATCAATTTCAAATGTTTCAAACATACCTGGTTTTGCCTGTGAGGTTATGTAATTAAGACGTAACGTAGATTCAACTTTCTTTGCAACTGTGCAGTTGAATGCTTTGATATCTAAATCAATAATTTCTGAAATGTAAATGTTTCCTTGATTGACATGAATAACCTTTCAATATATTGATTAATAAAATAGAGATAGAAAAAACGGAAGCTTTAAAGAAGGCTTAAAACGACAAAATTAAAAATGTTGAAGGCTCTGTTTGATGGACGGTAAGTTATCATTCGCACCCCCTAGTGGAATTCAATATTTGGACACAAAAATAGTAATGTTTTAAAATTAGAGAAAACGCAGATGTATTCATACAACTTTCCATGTGACGTTTTCGTGTCAATCCATGAAAACGGGTAAAAGGAAAGTTAACGTGTTCCTCAAATAATTAAACAATCGACGGAACTAAACACAAAGAAATGTTGAAAGGAGATCAGATTAATGAAGCTTTCATATCACGGACAAAAAAAATAAAAATCAGGTACCATTTTCTAAGGGTAAGAATTCTGGAACAACCTAAATTGAAATAGAAGAAACTAAAAAAACACAAACATGTACACATGCATTTTTTTCATTGATTATAAACTTCTGAAATGTGTTGCTATACAGAACAAGTTATATGTCTAGGTTGAATAATTATCTAGCATTTATCACGTCTGAAACAAAAAGCTTCACATAAAGCTTGTCTTAGGCGGGTGACGTTGTTAACTCTAATGCAAGTTCGTATTCATTTAATGACAAATAGGGTAACGTTAATGAAAGGAGAATGTCAATAGGTTAATTAACTAATTAATACTGATAGTTTTATAGAAGAAAATAAAAATACCTGGACAAGCGTCACTGTCGTAGCTGTCCTGTATATTCTAAATATTGAATGATAATAAATCATAAAGAATATGATCATTATAGACATTTATAGCAATACATTTGCCTTATATGATCATAACATGATCGAATATCTGTTAAAAACATTTATATCACACTTACATATGTATAATGCTTAATCTTTGAGCATTTAGTTGTATTTTATTTAATGAAATTAATATGGACACTTACATGAAAACTAAATAAATATTTTACATAATTATTATAAATGCATGTACCATTTATTTCTGCTACAAACTTTACAGTCACTATAACAAAACAAGAAAGACCAAAACGAAAATTTGCTATATTGTCTAATTCAAACTCAATTGATGAGAACATTTATAGAATAATCTGAATCATTACCATATTTACAACTGTTTTCAACATTGTATTTAGTTTGCCACATGCTTTGTTTCGATTTGTATTTTTGTCAGTCTTTACTATAAGCTGTCCAAGAAGACCTGGATTCCCTTGACTAGCAATGTCTAATTCTGAACACCATTCTAATACATGTACGACCTTGTGTTCTCTTAATATGCGCCAGTACACGACAACAGTGAGTAAGACAATCATTTTGAAGATGGCTACGACAACCAATGTCTTTAGAGTACATTTAGATAGCTGTAAAAGAAAATGGAATTAATGACGATAAAACAACTCACATCAAACAGTATTGTTTTCCTTTAAAGAGACTCCCCTGAGGTTTAAAAGCCTAAAAACATAACATTTGAATTTCTTACATAACTGAGCTGGTGCACTTTAAACAGACATATATGCAAAGATAGTTAAGAAATATACTTTGAAATAAATTGAAAATCGTATATTTATGCCTTTCTTAGCCTGATTTGAGTGAAAAGCGTTTAAACGCTTTTCATTTTGGGTCATGTTTTTCACAATTTGCATAATTATTCTGGAAAAACGAAGTGCGCGATTGATCTGAAATTTTGCACAAAGATTAGTGGTCTAAACCTACATCAAATGGTACATTTATTTAGAAACAAATTTCTAGTCCCACCATGTCAAAAAACCTCAGTGGAGTCCCTTTAACATTGTAATAAACTACCAAGTTAGAATGTTTATGAAACATATCGACATTAGAAGATGCAACATCTTTTTTTATTATGTTTGATAATGATTTCATCAACTTTATCATTAATGCTCAATACAAATCAAAGGAAATGTCATTTCTATTGGCTGAACAATGCTTTGATAAAAAAATAAGAATAAATGGTAGATACCTATGATAAAACAATGAATAAAATCATTATACACATGCATTCATTATTTATAATGGTGCATTTGTATGTGTTTAAATTTCCTGTAAATTCCTGTGAACTATAAACGACAAAGAAAATCTTTAACTTTTTAGGAAAAGAAATCCCGAATATTCTTATGTTTTTTAAACACAGCACGTCATTATACCTTAACACCTTTAAAAAGGCAAACGGCTATTCATTAGTTATGACAGAAAAGACTCGTAGACAAACCTCATAAACGTAACATAAATATTTGGCCAATGAATGTAAATGTTGGTTATAAAATCACAAAATTGTTAAAAAAAATATTTGGTTAGTAAGACCTCAGCACTACCTGTCATTTTTAAAAAAGACCGGTAGGGCCATTTCAACTTCATGAATTCGCAATTAAAACTTCGTGCATTCCCGTTTTTTAAAATACGGAATTCACGAATTCACGATTCAGTTCATAAATTAACGACTTCAACTTCACGAATTCACGATTTCAACTCCTGAGTTCACGATTTCAACTTCATGAATTCACGATTTCAACTTCACAATTTAGACTTCGTGAATTTACGATTTCAACTTCACGAATTTACGATTTCAATGTCATGAATTCACGATTTCAACTTCTTGAATTTACGATTTTAACTTCACGAATTCACGATTTCAACTTCATGAATTCACGATTTCAACCTCACGAATTCAACTTCGTGAATTCACGATTTCAACTTCACACGAACTCACAATTTCAACTTCACGATTTCAACTTCATGAATTCACGATTTCATCTTCACGAATTCACCTTCGTGAATTCACGATTTCAATTTCACGAAGTCACGATTTTAACTTCACGAATTCACGATTTCAACTTCACGAATTCACGATTTCAACTTCACGAAGTTGAAATCGTGAATTCGTGAGGTTGAAATCGCGAATTCATGAAGTTGAAATCGTGAATTCGTGAAGTTGAAATCGTAAATTCTTGAAGTTGAAATCGAGAATTCATATAGCTGAAATCGGGAATTCATGAAGTTGAAATGTCCCTACCGGTCTTTCGTACATTTTAGTACATGTAGTATAAAATGTCTCTGTATAAAGGCAGGTCAAACTGTTTTTACATTTACATTATAATGGTGCTTTGGTTATTAAATTATTATAAATCTAATATTTTTTAACTTAATTTGATTAGTGTTTCCATAGTACCACTTTAATTTTATTATGGGTTGCCAAAGTAACCTCAAACCAATTCCAAGAACCTTATGTGTCGATAAACAGCCAATATATTTCAAAAGTTACACTAAACAAATTTTGTAAAGAAGTTTGCAACGGCTTACTTAGACACCAAGAATGGATCTAAGATTATCAATCACTTCTACAATGTGAGAGTTTATCACAATATGATTTATTTTTTAATTAAGTCAATCATTTATTTGTTTAATCATTCATTTTTCAAATTTATTGTGCAATAAAATAATAAGTTAAGTATGCATATTCTGAGAAAATTGAAAGATGCAGTCACTGTGTTATTCTTATTATAAATGTATAATCGATTTAGAATAATAACCAAATAGAGAAAAACGGAATCCCTAAATAAAGCCAAAAACGGCAAAATTGTAAAATGTTGCAAGCTCGGTTTAATTGAGCCTGTTCATGGACGTCTAAATAGTAGTCTAAAACATAAAAGGTTATGCGAATTATGGTCGTTTATACAGGTAGGCTCGGAACATAATCTTAATACATATGGCACAAATCCCTACATCAATAAGCCACATTTCATATCATTATTTTTTACAAATATCAGTTCAATTAATAGGAATTAAAATATCGATGGCAACCAGTGTCTTCTATACCAACAATTTATTTCCAAAAGCAACATGAATGTGATTTTATACGTATGAAATATTTCAGATTTAAACATTTGTATTGTTCATATAGAAAAAATAGAAATAATAGATATAAATGTAATATGAAACAGCTTGGTTATTTTAAATACAATTTGCATGAAAAAAAAAACAATATATGTATTGAACTATTGAACATATTTAGCAGATCGTTTTGCAGATTCCTAGCTGTGATCAGCAAGTGAAAATTATTAGTAAAACTATTGGTTACATGCATTATCCCGATAGCACGAAAATGGTGACATGCTTATTTTGTGTGAAATAATTATTGGTTTAAAAGTTACTTTCTTCATTTATAACATTATATGACATAAAGAACATAAAGGTCTGTTATATTATAGGATACTTTATGAAGAAATAAATATCACATAAATTTCGAACGCCTACTTACTAAATCTGTTTGTGGTTTGTAAAAAAAAACAGCCAAAGCAACTGTTTTCCATTTCTTCCATAATTCTAAGCATGTACATAAATTTACAATTGTTATCATGTATGTTTGTGTACATTAATATCTGGAAAAAGTCATCCCTCGGATGCATTTAAATCAGCAAAATTACATGAAATTTGCTGACTCGGTTTGATGGAGTCCCTACACGAAGGATAATTAAAGTGCAATTTCCCTCACGCCTCCTAGCACCGGCATGAGTGGTATTCAATTCTCAACACTTTAAGGTGTTGAATTTACCGATCCCAAAGGTCAATAAAAATATAACAACAGTGAAATTATTTATGGGAAACCTTTTTTTTTACTTTCTACACTACCTGAAGAAAATGTTCATGATTCGAACGGGAAATTGATTTTCTAGAGGAAAGGAATGTCACAAATAACAGACTAGTGAGACAGATGCTTTGCCAAATGAAGTATTTAGATGAAATGCTTCATTTTCTGGTCTCGAAATTCTTAATGTTTAATTTTTGTTTTCCAAAAGTATGATTCCATCTGATTGGGGAAAGTGTATCATGAACCGATCCAAAAGTTCAACACCTAAAATAGAACATACCCTATGTCATACCGAGGAATTGCATAAGCTAACTGACACAATTCCACACCGTGTACGTGCCATTTCCTAGCGCAATCTCATTTTTCTCCGTCAATAACAGATGATGAACAAGATCAACAAGGAAAGGCGTCGTGCAATGAACGTAACCCCCCCCCCCCCACGACCCAGAAAAACGGGGCAGGACATAAGGCAGAGCACGTACAGACTAATCACTAAAATGATAAACAACCTGTAACTAACACTGATAAGCAATATGGGCTGGAAACCAACTTTCAGTAGACATAATATGATTAGTGTTTCTAATCTTTGTCACCTAGGTGCCTCTTTAAAGTTTTATATGTATGCTAACCAATTTGTTTGAAAAAGCTGGTGTTTTAGAACAAAACAAATACTTTATAATTTCAAGTGTTACAGAATTTTAAAATTGATAATGGGGTATCGAAAAAGCTATGCAAGAAACAGTTAAGTCTAGAAGCATTCAAATATTTACAATGTATTCAAATTGTAAACAACTGTTACATCTGAAAGAGATAGAAGCGGCGATCGATGACAACAAGCTGGGCAAACGCAGATAGTTCAAGACACTTTTGGAAATGAGAAATATTTTAAACGTATACAATTATTTTAGTGCTGCCACGCTTTTGCTAAATTAAGACGTAATACTAAACCACTTCGAATAGCGTCAGACAGATATGAACGCCTATCAGTTAATGAAAGGCTCTGTCCCTTTAGAAAATATATTTCCAGCTGTAATGGAATGTTTAAAGATCCTGTAACACATTATTTTTATGGTTTTATATACAAATTATGATGCTCAAATTAAGATTTATCGATATTGTAAGTTTCAAAAAACATGATTTATAAAGATATTACCGAATTTAATATTTCATGTAAATAAAGGGAGGTAATTAGAATTTAGTTTTCTATAAATTCTAAGTCAATTTTTCCAATAAGAAATGAATGCATATAATTTAATGACTACCTTAAATATGTACAAATATTTGCAATAATATTTTACATATTCTTCCATGTTTGAAAATTGACAAATTTGCATAATTACATACATATATAATTCAATGAAGAGTGGTATGCAATCTCAATTACAAAACATACAGGATCTTTAATGAATGCAGATATTCGTGTCGAATTATATATATAGGCAAAGTTGCAAAAGAAACAATAGTTTAACACAATGACAACCAACAATGAGCAAGTTTATCTTTATATTCTCAAATGCAAGTTACACGCTATTTTGTTTGTTTTACGTCGCACCGACACAGTATAGGTCATGTGGCGACTTTACAACTGTACTGGTGGAGGAAGATCTCAGCATTATTTCAGACATGAACGGGCACCTGAGTAGAACCACCGACGTTCCATAAGCTAGCTAGATAACTTCCTCAAATGTAAAAATCCAAAGTTTCTGTCAGGATTCGAAACCACGGCCTTAACCACTCGGCCACGGACGCCACCAATGAAAAAGTACAACATCCCTGAATGACTCTTAACATTAAATATTTAACAACTGTGTAATGTATATGGAAAATTTTTCCATTAAAACTTTTGCATTGAAAAAGACGGGTCTTAATGCCAATTATGTTGAAGCCAACAAACTGTCCTGATATACGTTAAGTTGGTTACATTTTGAGAATGAAAAGTTTAATGCATGACATGCTTTCCTATGATAAATAATATATTGACCAACACTTGTCTTACCATTTGCACTTGCTTGTGTATAAAAAATGATACCCCAGAAGTCTAGTAGAAGACGGATTTGCAAGCAATTTATTATTAAAGACTTATCAAACATAAGGCATTTTAATCTGGCGTTTCCCAGTTAGCGAATTCAGCGTTAAAATGGACCGTTTCATCTTGAAACAGATTAGCTTTCCTCCAATTTTTATCTTAACAGCGATTCAAATTAAAAACAAATATGTTTTATTAGATATAAGGTCTAAAAAAGAAATAAGATTGAAATCAGATCAAAACATTAGTTTATAAAGAAAAAATAGGATATTTGTTCTTGGAGAGAGCTCTTTCGTGAAGGAGAAAGTCATGTCGCCAAAGAGATAGCTCTATGGTTTCAAAGAGGACCAAAGAATGTAAAACATTTTCGGTGAAAAAGAACTTTAGGATATTGATACATCATTAAGAGGAAAGAAATCAACCATTTGACAATATTTGTTTTATATTAGAAGTTATTCCTGTAACATCATTTATGAAGTGATCTTACTTTTATCCCAACTTTAGCATAAATAGTTAGCTGTACAAATGTGAATATTGTGTACAAACTGAGACTTTACATTTCAGATGTACACACACAATTACCAATTTACCAAATTTTCGCTTAAAAATGATAATGAAAAACCAAACTATCTAATATACAAAGGAAGAAATTTAAAAAAGTATAATTTAACGTAATTATCAATCGAGCAGGATTTTTTTAATCTTTATTTAACTGACACAATACTGCTGGATTTTTCATACATGGCAATATGGAACATCAATCTTTCTACAAGAAAAATATATATAAATTGAAGTAATAATACTCTTATTATGTTTTCCAAAGCGTTTGCTACTGATATATCCCTATCCAACTAGCTTACAGAACGTCGGTGGTTCTACTCAGGTGCCAGTTCGTGCCTGAAATAATGCACGAGAAAGGGCACCTGAGGTCTTCCTCCACCAGTAAAGCTGGAACGTCGCCATATGACCTATACTGTGTCGGCGTGACGTAAAACCCAATCGACCAACCAATCCTTTTACAATCTTTATCTGAATAGGTGAAATAGGTTTGTTTTGAAGCGAATATAAACAAGGTAACAAATAGAATTTGAGACGTCGGTAAAGTCATCGGGATACGTTACAAATTAAATTTTGTCACGAGTTCGAGCCTCATAAGATGTTTAACTTTTTTTCTTTCTGTCTCTCTTTTGCTATTTTTTAAACTATTCATTAGATGCAAATAAATTGAAACATAAAGATAGCTTTGTTTTCAAATATACCGGTAATAATGATTTTTTGAATATCCTGTGTAGTATGTAGTAGTCATAGTACTTGTATAGTGCATTCAGTGTTTCGTGCTTGATAGAATTTGTGTACATGTATGCATTCCGTATAATATAATGTTGCATCAACTTGTTAGATATGGCTACATTTTAAACAAAAGAAAAAAATGAAATGACAAGTTTATATAAAATAACACAACACTAAAAATCTTTACAAGAAATATTACATCATATTCTTTGAGTACCAATAATACGAAAAAATACAATTCGAACCTTGCCGTCTTGCACTGATATTTAACTTAAATTTACCAGACAACCTTAATTACTTCGTTACGCTGACAGTTGGTAAATTTGTCGATATTCTAAATTACATCGCAAGACTGTTTCACTTAAGACAATAAACATAAATATCATAACTGTTTTACACCGTTATAGTGGAATTGACTGCTGCGTCACTAAATAATTATCCCAAACGTAAAGTATAAGATTTATGAATGATTTGACCATAGTCAAGTGATATCTTATCTGTGTAACTTTGTTTTAAATAAACAAGGTACAAAAATCATAAATTGAACATTGAATAGCTTATTATGACATGATTTAACTTTATCCATATTATTTGTTTACCATATTAAATTGTAACTGCATATCGTGAACTATTACTACATTACCTTAAAGTTGTATGTATTTTCTGCTAACGTATCTTTTACATTCTTTTCCTCCATTTTTGTTCTTGTTCACACACAATTCGCCATACAAAACATTAAAAAAAGTAAAATATGTAGATACCGAGTATCGATCGCTGGCGACTCGCCAAATAATCAATTCATTTTTTTTTTATTGCAGAAGCATTGAACTCGGGAAGATTTAAAAAATTGTATTGCTGCTGAGGCTTGAGTACGGTGGTTCAGAGGTAACATTTGAGTTTTTTATTTATCTCGTGCGCACGAGATACTATGTCTCGCGCAAGAGTTACTTAGTCGTGCGCCCGAGATAATTAAGTGGTGCGCACAAGGTACTATGTCGAGAGCACGAGAAACTAAGCCATATTCAATAGATATTATGTCGTGCTCACAAATTACTAAATCGTGGACACGAACAAACGAGATAATAAAGTCGTGCGCACGAGATAATTAACCTTAAGTTTATACTTTATACATGTATATCATTTTTTCTGAGCTAATTTGAAATGTGCCAGAGGCAAAGATGCCCCTAATACATCTGCCTGTCACAGTGACATATATACTTAAGATTAATAAGTTTAAATGTGACATTGACCTTTGACTTGATGACCTCAAAATCAGTAATGGTCATCTTCATGCCTTGAGCAATATTCCTACCAAGTAAAATAAAAATGGCTTATTTATTCTCTAGTTACATGTATTGATTTGACAATCATTTACTTTATGTGTCTGTGTTGCCTTGACCTTTGACATAATGACAATCAATCAATAAGGTTTTCTACTGGCCACTAAGGTACTCAGTTTAATGTCCAAGTAACAATACTCCTGGCTTATTCCTTCTCAAGCTATTGATTGGACGATAATTTTACATTAAGCATCATTGTGACCCTGACTTTTGACCTAATGAGCTCATAAATATTAAGTGTCATTTGATCAGGTTCAATGTCCATACAAACTTATATAAACCATGTCTTATTCCTTCTCCAGTTATCAGACAAGGATTTTGTGTCATGGTTACCTACCTTGACCTTTGACCTTAAGACCTCAATCATCAATAGAGATCATATGCTGGCCATGGGCAATGTCCCTATTAAATAAGACAAAACAGGGCCTTTTTTCGTAGCGCATGGAAAGGTTCACATGCAATAAGTATCCCTATCACATGGTGGTCCCCAAAACTTAGTCAAAATTATTGTCTGATTTATGGGTCATGTATTATAGGGATATCCTATTATGATCCTAAAGACAAGTATCAAGTTTAAAATGAATACACTTAGTAGTTTCAAAGAGTAATGCTGCATGTAAAACTTAAAACAGGAATTGTTTAAAGTTAAACGAGCCTCATCTGTGGTGACAAAACTTTCGTATTTTCGACAGAATGAGATATCGACGCTATAATCGAGCACATTTTTAAAATCTTCGCCTCATTAATGTTATGAATACAGCATTTTTCCTGGGTTTTGCTTTTTACTATTAGAATTTTTGCTATAACTGTGTTGACAGTGTCTAAAGACAGCCAGCATTTAACTGTCATTCTGTTTGCTTTGGGAAGATTTACCAACGTAATCATTTTACCGATTTTACGTATGACGTCAGCAGTAGCTTGTTTTACTTGTCTCACAATGTTTTTTCTGTAGGTCATTTTGTGCTCAAGAATCCTAAAATAATGACCTTATCTAAATTATTTACGTTAAGGGTAACCATATTGAATTGTCAATTGAATTGAGATAGGTATATGTATGATACACTTCTTTACATGAATTAAACATTTTTCACGAGCTATCGCAAGCTATAAAATCTTATAACGTGTTTTGATTTTGTTTCATGATAAATTGAACATCTCTCGTAGCGCGGTACATCGTTCATAGGTTTGTAATTTATCACTCAGGCCTTGATTTTATCACTGATATTACTGCGAATCTGAACTCCATAGCGTGTTTTATTTACAAAGAATACTCAAAATCAAGATTTATTTCCTAAAATCGCATGACTGTTAGAAAAAGACAAAGACAATTTGAAAAAGAATACTAATCGTGTTCAGGAGAGAAAACAAGGGCCAGAGAAATAAATTTACAAGATTGTGGTACTTGCAGATACAAATACAGCCAGAAACAAAGGTTGTAGAGTCTAGGCATAAAAGTACAATAAAATACTATCTTTTAAAGTTGAAGAAAAGTTTTAAGTGTGTAGATAATTTTACTAAATTACCATTTATCATAGTGAAAAAAGAATTTACTGTTCCATCAAAAACAAGAAAGTTCAAACAAATATTAAGACAACAGGGGAAAAATATATAAAACAAGGAATAAATGAAACTGTAAGGAATCAGACTATATCATTTCAAAAAATGCCATCTCATTACAGTACTATGGCTAATTCAAACGGAAATACTTAGAGACAGGACTACAGTTTCAAAAAATTAATGTATTGTTTGTAGCAAAAAGAAAATGCAAAAGCTGGTGTTGATGTTTTTTGCCTATTCATCAATAAGCATATATTCAACACTCAATTCAATATTGGTTTCCATGTACCAAAAAAGACAGATGTGACACTTGTATGGAAATAAGTAATAGAATTGAAAAGAACTACAGGCTAAGTATGAAAGACATCTGATCGATAAGCATTAATTTTATTTTGAACGTCACAATGACAAAAAAAAACAATGATGCCGCTATTTTCTTTCATATTCAGAATGTTATCTCATGTCCTCCTGCAAATATGTCCAGCTTTTTCTATAAACGCAACATAAACATTGTTCAATTTAACAGGTCACTGTTCAACGAACGGGGATCAAACGAGATTGCAAATGCTTTCATGCAAGTTCTACAAATAATTTCGGATGCATATCTATTATTTGAAAAGACTTGAAAAGTCTATTGTTCCGTCTGATTCGTCTGTACCTCAAAATCGACACTCAGTAATGCGTAACGCTATACAGAGTTTTTTTCAAATTCAAGAAATGTTCGGAAAAATATCACAAAAGTTTTGTACAGCAGGACATTCATCAAAACAGGAGGTAGACAATACACAATCTCATGTTAAAAGACCTTACAACCCTCTAGCATTATAACAAAACTGTAAACTGTTAAAACTCAGGAAATAAAAATTATCAAGTTGAAGAAAGGAGAACACATAATTATGTGATTTTCAGCAAGCAGCATCTTGTTCAAAAAATAACATATTACAATTTGCAAAGAGATCTGCCACATCACGCGATATTCGAACTATCGTTTGATAGTGATATTTGATAGTGGTACTACATCAATATCACTTACTAGTTACACCAGATGTAGAGAAGTAGTGATTTCCCCTTATCTACAGCACTTACGAAGGCAACAAAAACTGTCAAAAGAAAATAAAAAAGGATTTGGAAAGCATGCCTAAGTATTTTCCTGCTAAGGAAAACCTGTATATGGAAAAACTATGTAAAATTGGGTCTTGTTTGTTTTGATGTATCGTGCATGTACATACATACGTACGTACGTACGTACGTACGTACGTATATACATACATACATGCACGTTTAAAACGTAACAATTTTTCAAGAGACTGTATTGTAAAAATCTTTTTTTTTTCAAATATCAAATTTGACCAAAATATATTCTTAACAATTCAAGAAATCTTATAAAAGGCCATTTTAACCTTGTTGTGCTTAAAACGCGTTTTAATTTCGCCGATTTCCACTTTTTATTTCCAGGTAGCGTTTAGTAAATAGATTGACGAAATAACACGCAAAACAGAATACAACATGAATATTAAGGAAGGAAAATTATCCTTCAAATAAATATCGGGAAAATGTCAGTTTTCTGCATTTAGTAGAAGGCAGCTGAAATGGTAACACCTATTTCAGGCAGGTAAAATAATATTCGATAAAAGGTCTAAATCATAAGATCCAAAATACTATAAGTACTGGAACAACCAATGATATGGTTACGAGTCCTTCAAATAAAACTGTAACCGTAACAACCATAACATATGTAGTGACAGTGATCAAACTAACATTTTAGCACTGATCAAAGCAAGACAGAATAGGATTTTATTTGATAAGAGAGTGAGAGATGGTGTCTTTTTCAAATGGCTCTTGCAGTACTGTTATTAAAATGTTTTGATAATGAAATAAGAACAATGCAGTATAGTTTGTTGACTTTTAGTTCTACATGTACTATAACGCCATTGTTTTAAATATCATATACTACAGTGGTAAGAGATTAAAAAATATAGGATTGATCCCGTAAAGTAATTGTTAATTAAAGTATGATTTATCATAAAAATGACCTCTACAGATAAACATACCCCCTGAAAATTGACTGCTCCCAAAATCAAAATACAAGATGGCTGCTTTATATAGTCAAAGAAGGAAAAAAGTGGTCTAGATTGGGGTCCTTCACTACTGCTAATAAACAATTGGTCGTATCTGTTTAAGCCGATTCACTTATAATTCAATATTGTGAAATCATGACAGACAAGCGGACATATTTCGCCGACCTGCTAAAAGGTATCAATGACAGTCAGTACATGTAAATATATGATTTGATTTATTACACTGCCATAGTTAGGTGCAAGTAAACCAATAAGTAATAATCAATGCACTAAAGTTTGTTTATCGATCTGTTTTAGATCGCATTAAAAGGGTTGTGAAGTTTTGAAGTATTTTTATGCATCACGCACCTGTTTTATGTTTGGCAAATTTTTTTTATATTTTTTTTCTACAAAATATTATATATTTACTGTTCATTCCATTTTGTATTTGATGTAATGTTTATAACGTGATATATTGTTTGCCAATATTTACATGTAACTGAAACTAATTAATTTTAGCGAGAATTTTCCGTTAGTTTCCGTAATTTATTACGATTCGGCAATTGATATTGTTCTAAATACTTGAAATTAAAATATCTGCCTGGTGGCGTAGTGGTAAGTACATAGGTATAGTAATTGCGAAGTTGCAATTTCGAATCAACAAAAAAAAAATTTCGGATTCCTTTACCTTTTTTACAAATATATACAGCATAAGTGGATGAATGTATAGATCACTGACCTGTCTTGTTCTAATTATCATATAAGTGGAT